TCTTGACACTGATCGCGGGGTGGCCGCGCATGATCCACATTTCGCCCCGAGGTGCATGTTGTATTGTTTCTGTCAGGGATGGTAGCCCTGCGCGCAGCAGGGGATATGCTGACACCCCCGCCGTCCTTATCACAAACAAAACAAAATGCTCGCTGGCCTCACGAACATGATTCATGAGGTGATCGGTTCGGTTCAGTTCGGTCTGGTTCTGCAGCCGGTTTGGTTTTGCTTGGCTGGTTCGGTTTGACACCGTTTCGGTTTCGGCCGGTTCGGTTTGGTTTTGGTTCGGTTCGGTTCGGTTCGGTCCCACCGTTTCGGTTCGGTCCCACATTCGGTTCTGTCCCACCGGTTCGGTTCCGGTCTGGTTCGATTCGGTCTGACCTGTCCAGTTCGGTGCGATGTTGGGCGTTTGCGCAAGCGACGGCCCAGTTTGAACAAAAAGGAGGAGGAGGGATAATAATAATGATGATAATCATATTTATAAGAATAATAATGGCATGAAGAAGAAAAGGAAGAGGAGGGGGGAGAAGCAAGGAGGAAGGAACGAGGAGCAGGGCCGCGGCCCCGCGAGGTTCTGCCCACGGGGGTTTGGGGGCTTCTTGTTGTTGCTTGGGGTTTTCCTAGCCGCGTCTGGATCCGCCTCGACATAGTTGCCCCCGCCTCACTCTCCTAAGAGGCCCGCCGCCGCCGCCAACGACGACGGGGGGGTCCCCAAGGTGGCCCCTAGCGCCCCGACGGGCCCGCGGGGGGGGGGGGTCGCGACGGTGGGGGTCGCGACGGGGGGGTGGCCAGTGGACTGCTGGTGGGGTGGTTCCCGCATGAACCCGGGCACCCCGGCGGCGGCCCCCTGCCCTCGCCAAAGGGTTTCGCCCTCCCGGGGTCCGCCGCGGACCATCCATCCCCCTCCCCTCCGCCGCCGAAGGGGCGTCGCGACGGGGGGGGACGCGACGCAGGGGGGGGGGGCGACGGGGCTTGTCGCGACGGGGGGGGTCGCGAGAGGGGGGTCCCGACGAGGCCCGTCGCGGCGAGGGGGGTCGCAACGGGAGGGGGTCGCGACGGGGGGCGTCGCGACGGGGGGCGTCGCGACGGGGCCGGTCGCGACGGGGCCGGTCGCGACGGGGCCGGTCGCGACTTGGGGGGTCGCGACAGAGCCCGTCGCGACGGGGGGGGTCGCGATGGGTGCGCGACGGGGTGGGGTCGCGACAGGGGGTCGCGACGGAGTTGGTCGCGGCGGGGCCGGTCGCAGCGGGGGCCCCCGGGTCGCATTGGGGCCGGTCGCGACGCCGGTCGTGACGGGAGGGGGTTCGCGACAAGGGGGGTTCGCGACGGGGCCAGTCGCGACGAGGGGGGGTCGCGAGTCGCGACATGGCTGGTCGCGACTGGTCTGGTCGCGACAGGGCCGGTCGCAACAGGGCCGGTCGCGACAAGGGGGTCCCCACGGAGGGGGTCGCGACGGGGGGTTCGCGACGGGGGACGGTCGCGACGGGGCCGGTCGCGACGCGCCGGTCGCGACAGGGCCGTTTGCGACGGCGCTGGTCGCGACGGGGCTGGTCCCGACGGGAAGGGTCGTGACTGGGGGTGCGACGGGAGGGGTCACGACGGGGGGCGTCGCGACGGGGTGCGTCGCGACGGAGGTGTCGCGATGGAGGGGGTCGCGACGAGGGGGGTTCGCGACGGGGGGTGGCGACGGGGGGGTCGCGACGGGGCTGGTCGCGACAGGGCCAGTCGCGACGGGGCCGGTCGTGACGGGGCCCTTCGCGACGGGGCCGGTCGCGATGGGGCTGGTCGCGACGGCGGGGGTCGCGACGGGGGGAGTCGCGAGGGCGGTCGCGACGGGGCTGGTCGCGACGGCGGGGGTCGCGACGGGGGTGGTCGCAACAGGGGGGGCAGCGACGGGGGGGTTGCGACGGGGGGGTCGCGACAGGGGGGGCAGCGACGGGGGGGTCGCAACGGGGCTGGTCGCGACGGGCTGGGTCGCAACGGGGGGGGGTCGTGACAGGAGGGTGGCCAGTGGACTGCTGGTTGGATGGTTCCCGCGCGAACGGGGGGGACCCTGGCGGCGGCCCCGTGCCCTCGCGCGGGGGGGCCGCCAGCGGGGCCCGCCCTCCTGCGGCCCGCCACGGACGGCCCGCCCCGACCTGCACCGACCCGCCCCGACCCGCCCCGACCCGCCCCTGATTAGCGTGTTTTCCACCACCACCACCATAAGTTGGAGGGGGGGGGTCCTCCTCCTCCTCCTCCTCCTCCTCCTCCTCCTCCTCCTCCTCCTCCTCCTCCTCCTCCTCTTCGTCCTCCTCCTCCTCGCCCTCCTCCTTCCCCCCTCCAACTTATGGTGGTGGTGGTGGACAACAGGCTCATCAGCCCCGACCTGCCCCGACCTGCCCTGACCTGCCCGACGTCCTCATATTCGTCATAGTCTAATAGTCATGCATGTCACCGCTTGCACATATGTCACATATTGGCTCAAGCTTTGGCACTGGCTGCCTCAAGCCTCGTCGTCTTCACGTCCGGTTCGGTTCACGTCGGCTCGGTTCGGAGGGCCACTTGGTTCCGGTTCGGTTCCGGGTTCTGGTTCGGTTCGCTTCCCCTTGGTTCGGTTCTGAACAAATTCGGTTCGGTGAGGTTCGGTGTTTTCTTTTCTTGTTTTGGTCCAGTTCGGTCCGGTCACGGTTATCGGTTCTCGTATCGGCTTGGTGCTTTCATGATGATTCAACATTTCTGTTGCCCCAAAGTGTATTTTGAATTGTTTAGACAGGGATGGTGGGGGGGGCGCATCGGATCAAGACACCTCCTTCCCACAAGGCACAAGCCGTCTCGCTCACTCCCACCCGCCCTCTGTAGCACCCGAGTTTCCCTGCCAGGAACCACTTCAGAGCGGTCGCGGGGCGCCCGCGCATGCTCCAGATTTTGAGGTAAAGTGCGCGTTGCAATGCAATTTGGCAGGGATGGTTTGCCTGCGCGCAGCAAGCTATGTGAGGACATCCCCGCCGTTCTTGCTACACACAAATGCACAGTGGTCGCGGGGCGCCCGTGCATGCTCCAGATCTGGAGGTCATGTGTTTTTCGTTTTGTTTTTGACATGGGTGGTTGGCGTGCGCGCAGCAGCAATATGCGCCCCCACCTGGCCGACCCTGTCAACACCCAATGCAAAGTGGTTGCGTAGTCAAAACCCAAAGAACGATTTTGAACTGCTTTTTGACAGGGATGGTGGGGGTCCCTCATTGGCGCCCTCATGGGTCCAGGCTGGCTGCAGGTCTGGGGGGGGCGGGGGTGTTTATTAATAGGGAGCAGTGATCAAGACCCTAACTACCCCAGACGCAAACTGTCTGGCTTTCTCCCACGCGCCCTCCCAACACATAAGTAGCAACGGGGTCTCAGCATATTCAGCGGTCGGCTTTGGATGGGCAGCTACTTGGAACCGATCCAGATCCCAGGTGCGCGACCTGGGGCGAGGTGTACCAGGCGCGCCACGCGCACCAGGCGCGCCAGGCGCCCCTGGGACCCCAAAAAGCCAGGTACGCCTGGTGCGCCAGGTGTGCCACGTGTTCCACGTTCGACGAGTGTGCCGCATGCTCCAGCCGCGCCAGGTGCGACACGTTCGGGGCACGCGCAAAGTGTGGCAGGTCGCCCGCACACATCGAGAAGCATGTCGGCCCCTACCATCCTTGCCGAAACCTAATGCACAGTCGCGGCGGGGTGGCCATCATGGAGCCTGGTGGGGGCTGCATGCAGCAGGCGATATGCCAACACCCCCCCCGTCCCTATCAAAGATCCATGCCAATTGATCGCGGGATGCCCGCACATGGTCCAGATTTAGTCGCGAAGTGCAGTTTGTACAGTTTTTTCAGGCATGGTGGCCCTGCGCACAGCAGGCAATGTCCGGCATCCTCCGCCATCCACTCAGCAAAAACCATACATACAGCGTGCTCGCGCCCGCCCTGCCCCTCCGAACATGACCCAAGATGTTGCAGCAACGTGTTTGTTGTATGTTCTTTTTGGCAGGGATGGTTGGGGGTGGCATTGGACCAGGTTGGTCGCTGGTCGAATGGGGGAGGGGATGTATATTGATATGGAGCAGGGATCACCCCCCTGAGTACGGAGGAGGAGTTTTGGATGAGCGAGGAGAAGCATGTTATCTTCTCAAGTCGCTGGCATGTGGACCCATTTGGGCTCACGAGGGCCTCTGGCTCTGGGGCTGTTTCTTGAGCATCTGTCGGGGACCCTAATCCGAAGCCGAGGCGCGCCGTTCCTGGAGAAGCCCTGTCGTTCTTCTGGCCGCGCTCCTTGCTGCAGCACGATGCCTGCATGCCACCTCTGCCCACAGGGCTCCTCCCACAGGGCTGGCGGGGTTGCAGGAACCCTGCCAGACGGTCGAGCGCAACGCCTCAGTGTGCCGCAGGCGCAGTGGCGGATACATTGGCCACGCACGGCGGGCCCATCATCAGATGATTTTTCGGCGTTCGATCTGCATATAGCATGTTCCATGTGCCACCCAAATGTGTGCTCTTGATGCGCCCTGTCGCATGGAGCTTGTGAGCTCTGACCAGACGGTGGGGGCGCCCAGCCAGTTTGAGAGAGCGCATCGTCTCCTCCCCCCCCTCGTCACTTCCCTGGCCAGCCGCAGATCCTGCGGAGGACAGCGTGGAGGAGAGAGAAGGGGACGTGCAGGAAGGATGAGGAGGAGTCTAGCCAGCCAGGCCCAACGAGCCAGCTGGCCTCGCACATCCCCACCCTCCCTCCCGTACCATCAGAACACATCACTGTACCACTCGATCGTGGAACGCGCTCCCATCTACAGTCGGGGCCCTGAGGAAGGAACCCTTTTCGTTAGGGAGGGGCTCGGTGTTCCTCAGTTCTTTTGCAGTTCGCCCTTGGTTTTGCTTAGGGCTTCGATGGGAAATCGAAACTCAACTTGTGGGAAAAGGGGGCCTCGTTCCTTATTTAGGGTTCTTTTTTTTATCTGTGTGGGCTCCGCGCACGCGCGGAGGTTTCGTGCATTCATTCTGGTCGCTGGCGGGCCGCGGGATCAGGCCGATCCCACCCCCGCCGCTCCGCTCAGCGCCCCAGCTTCGCCTTGAAGGGGGGCGATGAGCACGTCGATGCCGACCGCCACTGGCGCGAGGCTTCCTCGGCCGCGGCCTGGCACTGTGCCATGTGGCTCGCCCGCAGGTCCTCCGCCGAGGGGTCCGCGTAGGCGTCGTCGTAGCCTGCGCTCTCGGCGTCCGAGTCGTCGATGCTGTAGATGACACCGCGAACCTCCGAGAAGCGCGCCCGAAACCCTGGGGAAGCGAGGAAGTCGAACATCAACCCGATTGGACGAGCTTCACCGTCTCGCCGATGCCGTACTCAGAGTCTACGTACCCTACCCAGTCGTAGAAGAACTGCTCCGCCTCCGACACTGCGGTCTCCGCTCCGCTGTGAGCGTCCTCGGCCGCATCGACGCACGCCTGGCCCTGAGCCTCCCGCGGGAGCGGCTCCAGCCACGTGCGAGAGATCACCGACCTTGCTCTCCACATCTTCTCGCTGAAGCTGCGCGAACAAGCAGAAGAGACGGTGGGAAACGTTCCCAAGCCCCCAGGTATAAGGCCCGCTGGGGTGGCACCCGCCTGCGATGCGCCCGCGGCCGCGGCGGCGGGCCACACAGCAGCACCGATGGGAAACGTTCCCAAGCCCCCAGGTACTAGGCCCGTTGGGGTGGCGCCCTGCACCGCCGCCGACTCCACAGCCGCTACTCCGCTGTGAATGTCCTCGGCCACATCACCTGGCGGGGTCGTCGGCACGTGCTCGATGCCGATCCCGCCCAAGGGGTCCCGCTGCAGCACGTCCTGCAGCGCCTGCTCATCGCCGCCGCCATCGCCGCCAGGGGCTGCCAGGCCGAAGGAGCTGCCAGCCAGCGTGTCGGCGGCGGTCGAGTCGCACATGACGTTCTGCGGCACCTCGTCCTTGTGGACCGTCGACGATTCGACGATCTTGGAGATGCCCTCGCTCTGCACCACCTCCGTGTCGAGGTGCCGGCCTCTGGCTCCAAGCGCCTGCAGGAGCACGTCGGCCTTCTCCCAGCCGTCGGGCACGAAAGGTCGAGCCTCGCGCCTGAGCTGCGCAGAATGGCCGGCCAGCAAGCGCTCCAGCGCCCTTGCATCCGGCCCATCGGGCAGGCGAGGGACGCCTGCCACGGCCACTGGCGGCGGGGAGTGCCGCGCCGCGTTGCCGTAGATCAGCGCCTCGCTCGCCTCGTCGAGGAGCTCGCCGTCGCAGCCCAGCAGGCGCCCTGCCGCCAACTCCTCCCCAAGGGTGGGGAGGAAGCGGCCAACCGCAACAGCGAGTCGCCAATGCGCATCCAGCGAGCTGCGCAGCGCCTTCACACGCCGGTTCAAAGCGGCCGCCCTCGACCAGCCCCGCTCCGCCTGTCGCTCACGGCGAAGGCGTCGGGCCAGTGTACGAGCGCTGGCCGCTGCCCAGCGTTTCGCTTCCATCGCGGCCTCTGGCGCGTGCCCGAGCGCCCGCTGCGGGCACGCAAAGACGCGAGGGCCTCCCGTAGCGCGGCTCGCTTGAGCCAAAATGGCTACGGACTATTTAGGGTTCCTTAGGTCAGCGCCCCGACTGTAGCGAACGAGAGGCGCTCGCGCGCGGCCCCGCCTCCGACGACTTTGGCAGAGGGAAAGCTGCGCGGGCCGTGCGGGGGCGGCAAGGGCAAGGCGCGCGCCGCGCCGGCGCGGCGCTTCCCCCTGTCGCGCGCAGCTCGCACGCCGAAGCACGCGCCGCGGCCGCGCGCGAGCGCAGCACCCGAGCGACATGTTCATCATGCATCAGGGGCAAGGGCGGCAAGTCGCCCGCTCGCGCGGGGGCCCCCACGGATTCGGCGAGGGGCAGATCTGCGCGGCGCGGAAGCGGGATCGCCACGCTCAAGAGCGAGCTCTGCGCGTCGCCCGGGGGCGGAGCGACAGCTCCGCCCGCTCGCGCGCCGATGGTCTGGTGTGCGAGGACTGCGCCGCGCCGGAGAGGGAGCTCAATCCCCTGGAAAATGAGCGCGGCGTCAATGCTGGAGCGACATCTCGCCTTTTCGCTCGGGGTGTGCGCCCCGTGGCGTGCCCCGTCCCATTCCTGCCACGTGCGCGCAGTATCCGTAGATGGGGAGGAGAAGCAGCAGCAGCAGCAGCAGCGGGAGCCAGCCACAAACAGCCAGCAGCAAGAAGCCAGCAGCTGGCAGCAGCAGCAGGAGAGGAGCGAGGGAGGGGGGAGGCGGACGGGGGGCGGGCACCGGGCGAGGAGGGGGTGGACGCTGGGCTGGGATCGGCCTCGGAGGGCAGCGGCATTGATGGGCCTGTTTTCCACCACCACCATAAGATGGAGGGGAGGGGGTCCTCCTCCTCCTCCTCCTCCTCCTCCTCCTGCTCCTCCTCCTACTCGTTGGAGGTGGTGGTGGAAAACAGGCCCATCAGGCATGACCCTGAGAAACACTTCCACTCCACGTCTTCCACATCGCACGCCGATGAGCAGCCGGGCTCGCGTCAGGCCCTATGCCGAGGCCAGGGAGAGGCGTCCATCGGGCCGGACGAAAGGGAGGGATTGGGAAAGGGGGGGTACGAAATTTGCTGCATGCAGCTGGTTCCGGCCCCGCCGAGGGGCCCATTCCTCGATACATAGCCGCCTCCGGCGCCGGGAGGCGGCGGGAAGATCAGCTACGTGAGCTGATTCTTAAACTCCTCCTTTGCTATCCCCGCCTTTCGCCCTGCCCGAGTCCAGGAGAGCCCAAGACTTGGCAACAGCTCGCGAACCTCGGCGAGGTTCCGAGTGGTCTCCAGGGGCCTCCCTGAGGGCCTCTTCCCCGCATCCGCCTTCTCGGCAATCCCCTCACTTCCTCCTCCTCCTCCTCCTCCTCTCCTCCTCCTCCTCCTCCTCCTCCTCCTCCTCCTCCTCCTCCTCCTCCTCGGTCGTCAGCCACGTGCAGAGGGGTGCGGGGGGAGGGTCCAGGGCTTCTTAGAAGCGCCCCTGCTTCTCAGAAGGCGCGGGCATTGCCTATAGATGTAAGGCCGGCGCCTTCTAAGAAGCAGCCTCCTTCTAAGAAGCCTTCCTCCCCCCCCCGCCCCATTGTGCGCGCCGCCAAGGTTGGTCGGTGGGTCGATACGGGTCAGACGGAAGCCGCACCTCGTGCTCATGAATCGGGCGAGGAGAAAAGACGGGTGCAGTGCAGCATGGACGAGGACAGAGGCGAAGACGACGACCCCGCACAGCAGTCTCCTCCTCCCTCTCTTCCACATAGCGGACTCCTCCTCCTCTTCCTCCTCCATTATTTGCCTTTCATCCTCCTCTTCCTCCTCTCCTCAATCGAAGAAGGTGCATATGCATAAACTTTTGGAGCTCCGCGCGGATTTCCCGGATCGGCGCTGGGCCCCCCTGGCGGCGCCCCCCAATGCCCGCTCCGCGCGCCCGGGAGGGGGTTCCAGCGCCGATCCAACAAATCCGCGCGGGCCTCCAACAGTTTGTGGTGTTGCAGTTTTTCGTTATTCTACTCAATCTCGACCCTGAGTTCATCTCCCTCCTCAGTGTTCAATCCTTCCTGTCCTCCCCTCCTCCCCAGTGCCTTCTCATCCGAAGTGAGCCCTAGGCGTTGCACCGCCAGAGCTGCCTGTAAGGCGATCGGGGCGCTGCGATTTTTCCGAGTCACTTGTTAAAGTTTCACGTGGTAAATGGTTGCACGGACGGGGGCGGTGCAGATGGTTTTCAATAATTGGTTCCAGTTGAGGCGTTTTCAGAGTTCATGATGTTCAAGCTAGCACATCAAACAGCTACACGGCGGGGGGGCGGGTCCGATTCAAATCATGTGATCACTTGGCATTTCTCCATTTTGGGGCTGTTCCGTTAGGCGGTGTTTCTGTGTGTGTGTGTGAAGACATTGGGGGGCACCAGACGCGGTCGCGCTTGGGTTCCCGGGGGGTCCTTAGTTGTTTTTCTCTACAGGGGGGGTCCTTTGAGATTTTTGGGATTGTTTCCAAGCAGGGGTTTCTCCCTGAATCCCTTGGTCCCTTGCTCTTGGATGATCAGTCCCCAGTTGACCACCCTGTGGTGATGGGCCCTCGTTCTGAAGAGCCGGCGCCCCGCGTCTCCTCTCCTCTTCTCTTCTATCATGGGGGAAAAACACACAGACACACTGAATCGTCGATTCCCCGGAAAATATGGGACACTATGGGAAGTGGGGGGGAGACAAAAACCAAGAAAATATGGGAACATGTGGGGGATCCTTTTATTTTTGTATATTTATTTGTTTGTCAGAGTTCCCTTTCATTCTCCTCCTTCCTCATCCCCCTCCCTCCTCCTCCCCCCTCCCGCCCTCCTCCCATGCCTGCCTCCGCCCTCCGCGCGTCCAGGAGGAGGAGGAGGAGAAGGAGGAGGAGGAGGAGAAAGTGGAGGAGGAGGAGGAGGAGGAGAAAGAGGAAAGGGAGGAGGAGGAGGAGGAGGAGGAGGAGGAGGACCTTCACACGTTTCGTGCCCCCATAGGGAGAGCTCCACAAAGGGCCCCAGTGGCTGCGTTCGCCTGGCCAGGTCAGCGCACCCCTTACATTCTTCGTGGCTCGATGCACTATGTGGAGCTCGAGGCCCCCCCGTGGCTGCGCTCGCATGGCACCGCCGCACCCATGTCGGCGCACCTTTCACACGATTCGTGGCCCCATACGGAGCTCCAGAGAGGGCTTTTGTGGTTGCGTTCGCATGGCACCGCCGCACCCATGCTGGCACACCCCTCACACGCTTCGTGGCCCCATAATTAGGGAGCTCCAGCGTTGGCCGTTGTCGTTGCGCTCGCATGGCACCACCGCACCCAAGTCGGCACACCCCTCACACGCTTCGAGGCCCCATAAGGGGGTTCCAGGGAGTGCCTCAGTGGCTGCGCTCGCATGGCACCACCGCACCCATGTCGGCACACACCTCACACATTTCGTGGCCGCGCAGGGAGTTCCATGGGTCCCAGTGGCTGCGCTTGCATGGCACCACCGCGCCGATGTCGGCACACCCCTCACACGATTCGGGGCCCCCTAGAGAGATTCACCGAAGGCCCCAGTGTTTGCGCCCGCATGGCGCTACAGTGCCCATTACGGTGCACACCTTTCACATTTTGCGGCCTCAGTAGGGAGTTCCACCGAGGGTGGTTGCGTTCGCATGGCACCACGGCGCCCATCTCGGCACACCCGTCACACGCTCCGTGGCCCCTTAGGGAGTTTCAGCGATGGCCCAGCGGTCGTGTTCGCGTGGCACCACCGCACCCATGTCAACACACCCCTCGCGCGTTTCGTTGCCCTATCGGGAGCTCCACCGAACGCCCCAGTTGTTGCGCTCGCATGGTACCACCGCGCCCATTTCGGCACAGCCATCACACGCTTCATGACCCCATAGGGAGCCCCTCCGAAGGCCCCAGTGATTGCGCTCGCATGGTACCACCGCACCCATTTCGGCACAGCCATTACACGTTTCGTGACCTTATAGGCTAGGGAGCTCCACCGAAGGCCACAGTGGTTGCGGTCTTCTGGCGCCACCGCACCCATTTCGGCACGCCCTCACACTTTTCGTGGCCCCATGGGGAGTTCCACCGAAGGACCCAGTTCCTGCGCTCACATGGCGCTGCCGCACCCGTTTCGGCACACATCTCACACGCGTTTGCATACGCCCACCGCACCAATTTTGGTACATCCCTCATGGCCTCACAAGGAGCACCACCAACGACGGCATTGACAGTTGCGCTACCTACAATTGCGAATGGTTGAGTCTTTCGCCAGGCTAGTTCCTTGGCCTTGCCTTCTTGGTTCCTTGGTCATGGTTCCTTATCCTTAGTTCCTTGGGTCGTTGGTTGTTGTTCCTCTGTTCCTTGGCGTTGGTTCCCAGGTTCCTTGGCGCATTGGTAGTAGTTTCTTGACTTTCGTTGGTTGGTCTTGGTTCTTGTGTTCTCCCAGTGTGGCGTTGTCTGAGGACCTCGTTCGCTTTTGAAGAACAGGTGGGTAAGGCCCCTAGTCGGCACAGGCCTTCCCTGGGGCGCACTGGTTCTATTTCCTTACGAGGGCCTTCCCAGAGATTATTTAGTCTGGTTGCTTTACCTGGCGTTGCTCGGGTTCGTCGGCCTTGGTGCTTTGGCTCCTTGGTCTTGGTGTCATGGTGCCGAGGTCGTGTTCATTTGTCTTGTTTCCTTTGTCCGTGGTTCCTCGGGCGTGGTTCCTTGATTCCTTGGTTTTGGCTTCTTAGTATAATTTTCCTTGGTTCAGTGGTGTTGGTTCGTTGGTTCCTTGGTTATGTTGTCTTGGTGCCTTGGTTCCTTGGTGTTCGTCCTCTGTTCATTCGTCTGCACTCCTTGACCTTAATTGTTTGGTTCCTTGGGCCGTAGTCTTCGGTCCAGGCATAGCGCAGTCTTCTTTCGACGTGGTCTACTCATTCGTGCTTACTTCGGGAGTTTGATCATAGTTGGGGCTGCGCTGGCTTTAAAACAGCTGCG